CCTTCTCTTCTCGCACGCGTTGGCAGCGAAGGGGTCACGGCAGGGGCCTCCGACGCGGCGTGGGCGGGCGCCCCCCACCACGCGAGGGGGCTGATCGCGAGCGGCCACTGCTGCAGCAGCGCGCACCACCGCGCGAGCCGGGAGGGGTGCATCACGCGCGCACACAGCCAACGAAGCTGCCGCCCCACCAACCCCGCCCGCGCGGCGTGCACGGGAAGCAGGAAAAGATACACGACGCAGAGGGATTCACACATGAGCTCGATCTGCCCGAAAACCCCAAACCCGTCGGGGAACATCTTCAGGAATGGCTCCGACGACGACTCTGGTGGGGAGTTCTTCGGGTTATGGGGAATCTTTCCATCTTGGGCGCCGCTCTCCGTGAAGAGTCCACCGCTTTCCGGGTGGAAAATTCGGTACAGGCGATCTTGCGTTCTCGAACAAAATTGCTCCGTCGCGCGAACCATGGCGTCTAGGAATTCCGCAAACGGCTCCTCCTGCAGCTGTTGGGCGCATTCCACACACAAGTCATGCATTGTATCGCGCATTTCATAGGCATCACAGAGAAGCTTTTCGTGTTCTTGGCGCCCGGCTGAGTCTGCGGGAATCCAAAGCAGGAAAAGACGCAATCGGTAGATAAGCGGCTCCACAAAGCAAAGCGCCTCCGCGACGATCGACCACGCATGCCCGTGGAGCACCATCCGTCTAGAGAGCACGAAGAGTGATTTGAGAATGACGAGCCTCCGTTGAAGTCCTTCGATAGCGACCGAGAGAGCCAGCTCGTTCTCCTTGAAAAGCGAGGCACGAGAGGCAACAGGGGAGAATGCAATGGTAGCCTCGGACCCGAAAGACGGCGTGAGTGGATTGGTCCTCCTCACGTTTTCAGCCCCTCGGCTAAAGTTGATGGAGATACGGCGCACCTTGTTGGCTACCCAATGCCTCAGGAAGGTTGTCTGTTGGGGGTCCCCCGCTGTGGCCGGAGCTCTGTTACTCTCCGCAGCACCTTGAGGTTTTGCCGGAGACGTATCATAATCGGACGCCTCTTTCAGCCAGACACCGGTTTGCCACGCCGACCGCTCCCACATCGCCGCCGCCTCAGGATGCTGCTGCTGCATCAAGTTAATGAGCATGTCCCCAACCGCATCCTCCGTGTAAAGCGCGCCAATCAGGGCGTGAAGGTACTCCTGCTGCTGCTCCAGAAGCCCCAACATACCACACAAGTAAACGCACTCAGCGGTGATGGTCAAAACACGATGAAGCATCTCATCCACCCCTTCAATGCGCTCTAGGTACGACTGAACACACCGCAGCAGGGGTGGGTGAAGGACCATAAAGACGTGCCGAAGGATCCGCTCCCGTTGCCGATACGAATCCGCCCTGGAATCGTGCGCGACCCCTCCCTTCTCCGCCTCCCCACGATGTGAGGAGAGCTTCTCCACGATCTGCGTTAAACGCCTCACGAATACCCCAAGAAGGGAGGTGAGGTCGACGAGGTGGGAGAGGCATTTGCGGGTGCGGCCGAGGGCGGCGGGCCCGGCAGGGGCCTTTGAACGCGGCGCACTTGATCGGCCCCCTTTCAACCCTGTGGGGGGCTCCCCGCTCACATCGGGTTTCTTTTGCTTCACCCCTCCGGCGAGCTCCTCCGGTGGGGGTTTGGACTCCGCCACGCCGCTTAGCTCCTGCAGGGGGTGGTGCTCGGGGTGCGCGAGGGCGCTCAGCGGGGTCGAGATGCCCTCAATCATATCGCCCGCAAGGAGGGCAGCCTCGCTAAAGAGGGCGGTGTACGCACAACGGTGCGAACGGACCGGGTTGGGTGTAGTGAAAGATTCCCCAGAGCGCTGATCGTAATGTTCGGCGCTTTCCTCTTGTAATATTCTATTCAAAGTACAGTTGGCGAGAAAGAGGTCGTTCGCGAGGCTATCACCCCCGACAATCTTTTTCCACACGGCCAGCACTCGGAAGATGACGAACATCATATCTTCGTCCTTGTAATGCAAGGAATCGTCCAGGGCTTCTTTGCTCATCGAATAGCCGATCGTTTTATCTGACACATGAGTGTCTGCGCTAACTATCTGACTGCGGATCCGCTCTAGAATCGTTGACAGGTGCTCTATTCGAAATTCCTTCAACAATATAGCATGATAGCCTGCAAGATCACTGGCAGTGTTGCGCATGGCAATCGGGAACTTACTTAGGGCCACGAGCGCAAGCTCCTGAGTCAATACAAACAATTCCTCATATGCTAATACTTCTGTTGCCCTTCGTGCAATCCGAGCAGATTGCACGTGATGACTACTTTCAGCAAAAACATCATAAATGGTACTGGCGGGATCCTGATCCCACGAGGCAGCGGTTTTCCCCTGATCCTCCTCACCTTTGTCAGTACCATATATCAGACTATTACTATCCTGTATTCCTTCCCCCACCCCAGACCCTGTGGAGTAGGGGCGACACGCGAGAGCCAAACCTACAACCTTTTCATTAAGACATTGGAAAAACCATACGCCAACGCTGCTGGATGGGTTCTCCAGCATGACAACCCGACTGTCACACTTCAAACTAGATGAAACAGTCCTCTCTTCATCCGTGACACTGCGCGAAAAGGCTTGCGACAATGCGGGTTTCGTTGATGTTGCAACCTCTCCCTCAACATCTGTAAAATAAGAGAGCAAAAGTTCGAGCGCGACTTTACGAAGACGGTATGGAACATCTAACAAAAATGACCTCGTATTGTCCATCTCTAAAACCGTGGCTATGAACGAGGACTCAGTCTGCTGAGGTTGACTGCTCTTAATGGTCTCAATAAGATCAAACCAAGCCTGGAAAGCGGTGCTGCTATTATTACCCAACTGTGGGGTTAACAGGCCATGCGAGCCCAACGGAACCGTGCTGAGCGGCAAACTCTTCGGCCACTGACCAGCCGAAAGGTCGCATAAGTCCTTGAAATAAGCGACCGATTGCAGAAGCAAAGGAAGCGAAGATTTGCTCTTCATTGTGCTGCTTTGGGAAGCGTCACCAGTGGCGGCCACGTCAAACTCCCCTTCGCCATGCAATAGGGCGTCGCAATAGGCATGTGTGTGCTGCATGAGTGTCGCTCTCAGGACCTCCTCGGCCATGCAACCGGGGGCCACGCTTGCGTACATCGTCAATAGGAGCCCAAGCGGCTCGACTAAGACACTACTGTTCAAGGGACACACAGAGGAAAGCGCTACAACCACCTGTAGAAGCTGCATAACCATTTCATCATCCTCTACCAAGGTGCAAAGAGCATGACTTGCGTCGACAGTCGAAACGGATGTCTCCAAAGTTGAGGCCTTTTCCCGAATGGTTGACGCTAGACATGTCTCCACAAGTTCCTTTTGATCAATAGTATTTACATTACTTTGTGATCTTGCCAAATCTGATTCACTGGGGAGAACAGAAAAGCTGCGATTCGCAAGAACGGCTCCCCCTTTCTCACAGCTATTATCAGATCCATGTACAAAACTCGTACACCTGTTATCAAAACCACCATGCTTTTCCGCACGAGCCGATGTAGTCCTCACAAAAGCCAAGCAGCGCACCATATCACACACAGCACGAGCCTCCATATTGGTTATCGTCATCACATTCAGCGAGAAAAACTTGCAAAGGTCGGACAAGCAATGAAACAATAAATTCCGATAGGAGCTGCGATGTCCACTCACCTTGCAAGTTAAGAGAAAGACGTAAAGTACCTCTGTAGGGGGATAGCCCTTTTCACGAGCTGCGTAAGCTACGTTGCGGATTGTGACCGTCTCATGCTGCTTTGTGGAGACAAGGATGATATTGTCCAGACTTTCACGGAAAGCAGTGGCCACGATTCTACTATTGGGAGTGGCTTGCCGCGACATGTGAACCGACTTTTATAGTGTCCTACAAGCTGACTTTGATTTCCTACGATATGGCAATTATTAGCGTATGCGTATTAAATATTTTTGCGTGGAAAAACAGAAACAGTAAGGTTGAGCTCAACTTTCGAGACGATTGGAATGAATTTAGAAAATGCTTTTACGCAAGTAAAACTAGAACAGAAAATATAGAGAGTCAGAATTTCGCTCTTGCATATGTAGAATTATCCTGATATGGAACAATAAAGACAACAAACAAGAAAAAAAAGTTCAATGTATATAAAATGAAGAGAAATAACTTTTAAAAAGGGGAACAGAAAAAGAACAGAGAATTTATGCATTGAAATTAATCATTTTTGGACTGTGAATATCACCAAACAAAAGTCATCTTTCTTATAAGGTTAAAATTAGCAAAGGTATTCTATTTAGTAAATACAAGTCTCCATGTATGCAGTGGATAAAATTAATATAAAATAAGATCTATCAACAAATTACACTCATGAATTCTATTATACCCCCCCCCCCCCCTGAGGGAAAAAGCAATGAAATGCGGTTCAATGACAGAAGCACAACAACCTCAAAATACTGAGGGACGATAGACACGATGACCAAGGCCATGTTCAGGCAACAAAAAACGCGATCCCCTACGGTATGAAAGCAAATACTAGAATGTTTAAAGTGAAGAGATCAAAAAACAGAGGCTCTTTCTATAATATGCATCCATTTGTGAAAGCATAAAGAAGACGTGAAATGATTCTGTGAAGGTTTTTTACACATATTCAGCCACGCTACCCTCGTGGCCTAACAACCTTCCCTTCGCTGGAGTTGACGACTTTGCAGGAGGGGTGCATACAACCTCAGCCCTCGTGGGAGAGACGGCGACGGGCAAAAAGGCCCGGCTCCTATTAGTACCACGAAGAGACTCTACAAGACCAGTAAGCCTGGCATTCTCGTACTCTTTTTCCGAGCAGCGTTCATGCAAAATACCATTACGTCTCTCCATGGCAATATAATCCTCATTAAGCTCCAACCACTGCTTTCTGAGCGTGTTACGTTCTTCGGTAACTGCCTGCAAAAGTGATTCTTGGCGTGCGAGAAGCTCTTTTAATGACTTTGTTTCAACAAGCATATCCATATTACCTCTCCACTGCCGCTCACGCTCTTGTTCGGCCTGAAGCAAGTCACGAAGCTGTTGCTCTGACGATTGCAGGGTTTGGATTTGGGCGTCACGCTCAGCAAGCGCGAAACGAAAACTCCTTAGAGCCTTTTGCCACGCCGCCTGCTGGGTGCGAAGCTCATCATAAGCACGTTTAAGAGCCTTGACAAGACCGTCAAGGGTCGACGGGGGCTGGTGTCTGCCGTTTAGCGACGGGTGCCCATCGCCCACGAGTGCACCATTGGAGGCATCGCCAGAGACCGGTAGTTGGGAACGGGGAGTTATCTTTTCAGCACCTGCAGATAAAAAATCCGGCATGAGATTCAGGACAGTCTCAGAAAGATCGGCATCCTCACGCATGGAACTAAGTAATAGGGAAAGATCCTCAATACAGACGCGCTGAGCTCGTTCAAAGCGGGCCGCCTCGGCGAGCCGACGCTGCGCCTCCGCGTGGTGCAGCTCCTCCCTTAACCGATGCAGCGCGTGCAGTGCCGTCCTCACCATGGGTTCGTACCCCTCCCCTTGCAGGGTCTCCAGCTTCGCCACCCGGTACTCGTAGCACGTGCCCTCGAGGGTCGCCATGTGCAGCTCTACCTGCGTGCACAGCACCTCGTTCTCACAGTCATGCAGCCTGCCCTGCAGCGCCCGGATCTCCGCCTGCTGTGTTTGCACCGTCGCCGTGCTCAGCCGCTCCCCACGCTGCACGCGCTCCAGGTCGCCTTGCAGCTCCTGGATCTCTATTTGATTCGCCTCAACAACCTGCTGGAGCTGCTGCCGCTCCCGACGGCCCTGCAGGTTCTCCTCCAGCGCAGCGTCCAGCTGCGCTCGCAGGGCGTGAAACCGCGTCAGGCTCTCCTCGCTCTCCCGCGCGATCGTCTGCTGGTACTCCTGCCGCAGCGCCTCGAGGCTGCCCTGCAGCTGCCGCGTCGTATCGACCCCGCTCGCCACCGCAGCGGCCTCCGCCCGCGCGACCTCCAGCGAACGCTCCAGCTGCTGCACCTCACGACGGTGCTGCTGCGAGTCCTGGGCCGCCCTCTCCAGCACGCGGCCTACCAAAACCTGCGCATCCCGCACGCGCTCGCTGAGGCTCTGAATGTAGGACCGCTGCTGCCGCGTGGCATGCGCGCTGCTACCGCACCCTTCGCCCTCTCCGCCTCCTCCTCCCAGCCCAGGGCTCAGGTCCTGCCTCAGCGCCTCCACACTCTCCAAGGAGCCGTCGATGTGGCGTAGGAACCCGTTCAGGCACCGGAACAGCTCGGAAATCACGTCTGCCACGTAGTCGAACTTCTCAACATAGCGCGGCTCCGCGTGGGCGACCTCTGCCAACTTCGCGGGAAGCACCAGCGCCTGCCGCGTGCGCTCCAACTCCAGCTCTCGTGTGGTTGCTTCCAGTATTTTCATCAACTCTCTTCGGGCTGTCTCTTCACTCATGGGATTATAAATATTTAAGTCTTTCACGCTCAAATCAGCCTGAGAAGTGCCCACTTGTGTTTGTTTACTGTAGTGTATATATCTTTGAGACTGCGACCTAGTTTCTAATGCAGCATTGCATTGTTCAAGTTTTGCCTCCACCTCTTCTAGATGCCGCAGCATGGAATAATTTTCTAATTCCCTTTTTGAGAGCTCTTCAACAAGCTCATGGTAGTGTTGTGCTTGCGTGGAGTAGAGAAAGGCTTCTAATATTTCTAGCAGTCGAACGCGGCAGTACTGCTCGGTTGTAGGATCCGACATGAGCTGAAGGTAAATGTGATCTTTAGGCAATTCATCACGGAGGGTCTCAAGCACACTCTCAATACCACGACGTAGCTTCTCATTATAGGCCTCCCGAAATACCTCACCTATGGTGTGTTCTTCCAGCAGAGCCGCGTGTTGCATACTACTCTTCACCATCATCGGTCTGCTATGCGGTGTATCTTTGTATGGTCCAAAACTAATCGGTAAATCTATAGCCCCACCGTCCCTATCAGCCAAAGAGCCCGCATCAAGCATCGAGTTGGCGGTAGTAGCAGTTGTGCTAGTTGATACAACTGTTGATGGAGCTTTGGTGGACTGCTTCACCCTTCCCTTCACCCTCACCATGGTCGATACGGACCCTTGGATGGAGTTACGGCTGTCCTGCCGAAAGTCTTTACCTGCCCTCTTTGGAAGAGACACGCTAGGATTGCTGCGGTTGCCGCTTCCAGATACTATGTTCCCTCTTGGGGTTTTCGAAACTACAGGACTGGGCAATAACACGGACACTGAAGGGTCAGCTGTGTTGCCTTGTGACACGTCAGACTTGTAGCCAGAAACTCGCCGCTGATGGCCCAAATTAAGCCCTTCATGGCGGAAAAGGGGTTGTTTGTGCAATGGCATCTTCTTTACGTCGCCCTCAGTTTGCATATTTGAGTAAATGTTGATCTCACTATTAATCAATATAAAGACGGAAGTAAAAATTGCGCACTTGTTCAAACGACGTAGTTTACCTGTTTTTTTCTTGTCCTTGATATTGTGTGCACGTGCGTCGAAGCGCAGGCCTTCCCTTTTCTATATTGTCTTTCCTTGCTATTGAATTGACTCTCTTCCTAATATTCTCTCTTCAAATTAAGGAAGGGTAAACGAATGAAACATAAGTCAATAATCGTTTTTCAAATATGCACATATAAGCACATAAAAAGATAAGAGTTAAAAAAAAACATCCCCTTGAATTCATACTTTCAAGCAAAGGAGTCAGCTAGATATATATACAAAAATCTTCATGTAACTTTCGGCGCACCTTTTTCCATGAGTGCTCTTTCTCAATGAATTTGCATGCAATGTAACGTTAGGTATTGTTCTTGCATGTTCAGAGGACATTATTTTACCCAACAATAAAAAGAAACGGACACAGCAAAACTAACTTCTATTCGTCGCGTGTTTTATTCACAGGGTAACAAATAGTTTTTGCAGCTTAGAGCGCAATGCAACGCTTTCAGTGTGATCTGGAAATTCTTCAAGCGCACGCGTGACCATCAGGTAGGCCCGCTCCAGCTCACTCATATTGTAGGCAACCAGTGCGGAGTTGTACAGGGCTTCCACAAGCCCCGGCGCTGCCCGCAATGCTGACTCGAGTAGGTAGCCACCCTGCTCGCTGGATGCGAATTCTGCGTCCTTCTTCTTCCGCTCTCCCTCATATGCAAGCACCGCAAGGTTATTGAGAGCCTCTGCGTGGCTGCTGTCAGTCGCCGCAGCGAGCCTGAAGGCGCGCTCGGCGGATCGAAGATCGCCAACGCTAATGTACACATGGCCAATATTGTACCACACATCTGAGCGCTGCGCATCGTCTGGGCAGCACTGCATGGCCCGCTCAAAGCACTTAAAGGCATGTTCAAGCTGCGCAGCGCAAAGGCTAGAGACCCCAATGTTGTTCCAGACCTCCACCGTGTTTACACCCATCTGCAGCAATCGGTTATATAAGTTGAAGGACATGTCTGGATGACCTTTCTCGTAAAACAGGTGGGCTGCAATACATGCAATGGCCTCGACATTGTTGTTGTCGATGCACAATACTTGCCGGAAGAGCCCATAGGCCTCATCTTGATGATTGAGCTCGTTGTGCAGCCTCGCGCAACAAAGTATAATCTCGTAGTCAATACAGTTTTCATTGAGTGCATTTGTGTACAGCTCTAGTGCGGAGAGGGATTGATTCATCTTTTTATACACTTTCCCCAGTTCCATGATAGTGCGTGTGTCATAATGCGCAAAAAGAGACGTTGAGCTCTTTCCGTCAGGAACACAGCCAGCTGTTCTGCCTACGAGAGCACCACCTGCAGAAGGCTCGAAGAGCGCATCCTTGAAGCACTTCTCCGCTTCACGGAGCAACCCAAGCTGGTAGCTTGCCTTACCCAGGCGCGCCTTCCACCACCAATCACTTGCTCCGGGAATAAGGCTATTTTTTACAGGTACGGAATGTTCGCCGCGTGGGGAGGGCATACCCAGCGGCAGACCAGCAGGCCTCCCTACACTTGCCGTTGGTGGTGGTGGCCTTAACACTGCCGTGCATAGCCCTAGTGCAAGCTTTGGCTGGTGCTCCACATACAACAGATAATCACATAACACCTTTGCTAATACCGGCTTCTTTTGTGCGAAGTCCTCCAAGTTAAGAAACTGAGTTTGGATGTGCGCACCTCCAGGGGCTAGCTGCAGGGAGGCCGTGCTGACGCGTGTGAAGCGGCCGGTAGTTGGACGTGCAGAGGTGCCCCCACGGCCCCCCTGCAGCGTCCCCGGTCGGTTGTTGAGGCTGCCCGTGCGCGCAAAGCCCTGGCGACTGCTAATCTGGCGCCCGCCGCCGGAAGTACCAAGACCACCCGCTCGGGAGGTACCACAGACCCCCATTTTAATCTTACCTGAGGTTAGCTGTCGGGGTGGCTCAATAGAACCCCCATGGGGTTGGGTGCTGCTCACAACCGTCTGCTCGCCTTCCAATAGCACATTGTTCACTCCATCGTCCTCTATGCTAGCGTCATCGAACCAATGCTGCAGAACCATAGCTTTAGTTTGGGCATACCACAGCAACTCGTTTAGATGTTTTTGATCGTCTTGCACGGCACAGCCCCCGTCACTGTCAGATACACGCTGGCTGGATGCAAAGGCTACGCACTCATCTAGTTTCCGCCGTCGGAGAAGACTAAAAGCATAGTAACCAGGGTCCATACCAGCCGGCAGCTCAGGCACCGTTGAAGAGGATGTTTCAAGCACAGGAAAAGCCATCGCTCCTTTTCTACTCTAGTTTGTTTAAAAACTACTTTGCAAGGTGATAATCAGACGAAACTAATACTAAATGCTAAAAGCAGTTTTTTTACAAAAAAAAACTCTTAAATGAGAGGGATAACCAAAGGCAGAGCACTCCACAATTGTTGCTAAGTGGAGCAATTCAATGTGTTTTTCTATAAACTAATTTACTGTAGAGGAAGAAAGCTCCCCCCCCTCCCCCCGCCCTCCACACACACACAAACATAATTTTAAAAAGGATCAATTTTTCACCTGATTTTTCTGCAGAAAACTCAAAGTGGAGAAACAGTACAAGTGAATAGGTATCATAATACGAAACGGAAAATCGTCATAATTAAGACTTACACAAAGCATTCTATTCGTTTTACCCCTTGATATGCGCAAACAAAATAAATACGAGATAGAATATGAACAAGACATGAAGAGCTTTCTTCTCAAATTGAGTCTGAATTTCGAAAAAAGTCTAGATCCATTACCTTAAAACATCATATTCCAGAGACCCAAAACATTTGAAAATATGGCAAACAAGGTATATAGTACATATACTGTGGCTAATGAACTATAGTGTCCATATGCATATCGCTTTCCCTTCGCCCCCCCCCTCTCTCGCTTATGAGGGGCCATTTTCGAGGTCTTGTTTGGCGACATGCACAATTGTAAGTCTTTCTTAAACAGCAAAAAGAAATTGAATAACGCAACAAGTGGCTGAAACAAAACGAAAAGTAGCGAATTGAAGATTAAAAAGTGTACTTTGGGACCTATGTTTTTCCTACTAAGAAGACAAAAAAGAGTACACTAACACACGAGCCTCGTCGCTGTTCAACTTAGGAAAAAACAAACAAACAACAAGCACCTATCGGCTAAAGCGATGCTAGTGCCGCTGTATTGATCGCACGAAGCGTGAAAGTATTTCGATGTATCCCAAAAACACTAGTTTACCTCCATCTAAAGTGACAACAATAGACCTAAATCCTTCGATTTCATTTATTCTTGCATGCGAGCTAAACCAATAGTCTATCTCCCATCCTTTCCAGGATCGCTTTCCTTCTCTACTACGCTTTCAAGCTTCAAATCAAGATAAAAAGATCAACCTTTGTGCTTCTTTATATCTCAGTTGTCTCGAACATTTCCTTAATGGTAGATCGGCACACTGGGCAGATTCTGCAGCTTGGTGCGCATAAACGGCACATCACTTTGTGACGACATGGTAACAGGATCACCGTCGGCACGTGGTCCATGCAAACTACACAATTCTCCTGCTTACCGGAAATCTCCTCACGTACTTGCTGGAGATACTCGATCATGTCGCGTTCGACCAGCCGCAGCTGGGAGAGCTTGTAGCGGCTTGTATCCTTCGGGAAAAGTAAACACGTCTGCTGAAGACTATTCATAATCTCCTGTCTTAGGGCACGCTCTAATGAAGCGCCCTCAGTCTCTTCCTGGTGTGCAGCCTTGGTTTGCAAAGTGTTGAGCTGCGGCTGTGAATAGGATTGACACGCGCCAGAACTGTGCTGATCACCACTAGTACCGGCGGCCGCGACGTGGCCGCTTACTGGGAAGCTACTAAGTGGCACCAACGGAGGGATATCCGCAGTGTGCGGCCCATCCGGTTGGCCAGGGAGCCCGTTGTGGAGGATGCCGCTGTCGACATAGGCACTCAGGGAAGGCTCGGGGCTGCTGGTCGGCAGGCTACCCCGATGGGCGGTATGGAGCCGGTTCCCATAGCCCACCTCGCGCGTGGGGCTTCGTGAGCCACCGGTGTCGCGGCCGCCCCCCCCTATCCCGATGCTGGTCGAGAAGAGATTGTTAAGGGTGTAGTTGGGCTGGCTATTGGACGGAGATGGAAAGGGTAGCGCCGTGTTCGACGACAGACGCGCTCGGTTGTATTGTTGTTGGTGTTGTAACATACTTTGACGCTGCACGTTACTACGCATCGACTGCAATTGCTCTGGAGACAGTTCGTTTTGTCGACTGTTACTTTGTGGCGGAACGGTTGTGTGGTTATTCGGGTTAACACTTACATGGTTATTGCCATGTAACTGCATTGGTCTCGTGCTGATGTGAGACCGGTGGGCGATCTCGTACGCCCGTATGCGCTCTGCAGTCACATTCAAATCACTAATAGTCGGCAATGGAGAGCCTTCTTCGCGCGAGAGCTGAAGCCACAGTGCGAACTCATCCACGTTCATTCGGCTGTTGCTGACGCTGTTAAGTTGAAATTGAGTCCCATTGACCTCTGCTAAGCTACGGGGGAGGGCTGCCAGCAAATAAATTTTCGTTTCTTGTCTTGTATCAGTAGAAAAACCACTATACGGCTGGCCTTCGATCGTGCCTTTTACATAAGCAATAGCATAGTTCTCCGGACGAAAATCTAAGGGAAGTTTAATCAAAACACGAATAAATGATCCTGAAATGAGTTGTTTTCCATTGATGGGATCCCACTCAAGGATTTTTGTAGCAGTGTTACGATTGAGCTGAGCCTTTCGGACCGCGTTGAAGAGCCGCTGCTCTTCATCAGTAAGCATGGGATGGATGAATAAACTTCAATAATATCTAGATCCCAACTTACCTTTTCAAATGATAGCACTAGGGGTAGTAGTAAACACAGACAAACGAAGTAAAGACGACAAAGCTACGCGTCAAGTTTTGCCTACTTCTCCCCTCTTAAGATTCCCGATCAAAAACAAACAAAATCGCAATATATTAGGAATTCTATTCAACTATTTGAAACCCTTAATTTCTCATACAAAAGCAAATATTCGTTTACAGGTGTGAAAAATTATGAGTAAATCTATTTGATAGAAATGTATAACTTCGTACTTGAGTATGTTTACTGCCTACATTTCATAGGGAATCAAGAAACAAGAGTGAGGAAAAGAGGAAAACTAATAAATTAAAGTAACAAAATATATCAAGAGCACAGATAGACAAAATAGAAAAGTAATAATGAGGTGACAGACATTTCGATATATCGATATATATATATATATATAAACGAATAAAATAATGATTCAAAAAAAAAAGTCCAACATGCATGGTGGTGTCCTTCAGACCTTTACACATACGAATTTCCTATCCACTGGATTATACACATGTAATGCTTATACGCATTGTAAAGAGATAAACTAAAAATATAATGAATAGAAAATGGGAGTTGCAAGGGGCTTCCACCAATTTCATACTAATTTATTCCTTGAAGTGTGCATATCCACATTCAAGATGCCATAAGCAGAGTACAGAAAATGTAAGAGCATATGAGTCACGCTTGCGTTGTAGAGTCCTTTCCCTTCATTATGCCACCAATGCACTACCTTCGACTAGCAGCTCCTTGCTTGGCGGTCTCTCTGATTAGTTCTGCTAGCCAAGGGAAAGTGTTAGCAAAAAACGTGTGTCCCGATGAAGATGCTAAAATGGACAATGCATATCACGTGCTTTTGCGGGTTCACACTTTAGAATCATTAGCCATTTCCCCTCTGACTCTGTCATCAGAGCTCAGCACTTTATCTTTGGGAGCAATATTTGTTCGTGCTTAAAATCTAAAAGCAATAAAATTAAGGATACAATGACACATTGAAAGCAATACGATTAGCTTTGCACAGATAGCTTCATCAGGATGAATGTATGATAGTTTCTAGTTTATTTATACTGCTTCCTCCAAAGTAGACTCTGTTTTTCCTCATCAGGACTCTATTTATCCACCACAACCTGCTATTCAATCAAATCAGACATTCCCTGGGGTAACAAAGGTTGCTAAGCAATATGACCCCAAGGAAAATAAGAAGGCATACACAGGTAGCCCAATAATACAAGTATAACATAAAACGTATTCACAACTAAAGATTAGAGGATTAATAAGAATGAAAGGGATGAATAAGATATAAAAAAATACAAATCCATCTAAAAGCACTCTAAAAAAAGTCAGGAAAAGGTCAACTTTTGCCTCCTTAAGATTCAGTGTCATACTTATTGTCTTGAAATTCTAAAATAAAAGCAAATAAGGTATTGTGAATCTAATAAGAACCTTACCATGCTCAATAAAAATGTTGAAATGTATATAAACCACAAGCCTATATTAGATATATAGATATAGGCATATATACAAAATAATAAAAAAGGTTCAACTAAGCGTCCTAAGAAGCGTAGCGATACCAGAAGTTATATTTTTTGCTAATCAAAAAGAGGC